CAGTGGGGAAAGGAAGAGGGCAACATGAGGCTGGGAGTTTGGGATGAAAGGAGCCTGCGCGTTCTAAAAGCTTGAGAGAGAAACCCCACAGGGGTGTGGCTGTGCAAACTCTGTCCCTTTATTGAAATCAAGTTTCAGGACTGCTTTGTGGACACTTGGCTTTTCACAGTGTGGCTTTTCCTCACATGCTGGAGGTGCTGGGTAGATCTTAAAGTCTGACTGCCAAAAATGATAAAAGGATGTAAAAGAATTTACGCAGGACAATAAATGTGGCTCAAAGCAGTGGAGAAAGAGATGAAGGGGAACTCCAGTGGGGTTTTTGACAGGGCCTGTAACACAGAAGGAGCAGCGCCTGCCAAAAGCGGAAGTTCAGGCGAGGTCATCTGGAATATTGGCGACTTCAGTAAAAATGACTTCTAGATGGCTTCTTAGGAATTCTCCAGGAAGATAAAAGAATTCTCGGAGAGAGGCGGAGCCATGCCTCTTATTTACAGGAAATGTGCTGGTTTTGTATCAGCTAAGAAGCCCGTTTTAATAAATATTTATAATTACAGTGGATAGAAGTGGCAAAGTCCCCCTGAGCTGCAGGACCAGGAGAGATCTGCTGTGAGTCCGAGCTGATAAAGAATTCTGGCTTTTTGATACCTCCAGTTCCATCAGGGAGTTCACTCCGGCCAATTTCGGTATTGGGGCTGGGGGGACTCCAGGGGACACTAGGAGTGGGGGAGAGGGGACCATGGCATCGGGATTGGGGCCCTGGGGGACACTGGGGGGACCCTGCAGGGGAATGGGGCGTGGGGTTGGAGTCCTTGGGGAAGCTGGGGGACACTGGGGGACATGGGACTGGGGTTCACTGAGCTCTGGGGGGCAGCAGGGGGGGCCTGGGAGTGTGACTGGGGCCATGGGAGGGCTTGGGGACAGTGCAGGGGGCAGGGGGTGATCCTGGGATTTCAGTTAGGGTCCTGGGGTGTAACATTCCCAACAACTCCAAAAGGGAAACCAGACTGGGAGTGGTGTTGGGGTCTGGGGGTGGGCTTAGAGGGACACTGGGGGTTCAGGGAGTGACCCCAGGTTTGGGTTGGGGTCTTGGGGGGGGCTGAGGGGACCCCAGGAGAATGTCACAAAACGGTGGGAGTGGGATTGGGGTCTCTAGGATGACTGGAGGACACTGGGGCACCCAAGAGTGGCGCTAGCATGTGGGATCAGGGTCTCAGGCCATGTCCAGGGGTCTCCTGGGCAAGGCTGACCCCCCTCCCTGGGCTGACCCCAGTGTCACTCCCCAGCCTCTCACCAAGGAAGCCTCCCCATGTCCCCCCATGTCCCTCAGTGTCCCCTGTCCCATTAGTGCCCCCTGGTACCCATTGGTGTCCCCTCAGCATCCCCTGGTGTCCCCCTGTGTCCTCTGTGTCCCCTCTGTGTCCCCCAGTGTCCCACAGTGGTCACTTTGGACTCTTCTCGCCATGGCCCCCCTGGCTCAGACCCTGGCACTGCTGGCCATGACCGTGGCCACTGCGGCCATCACGGTGGTGCCCCTGGACATGGCCCAGAACTCCTTTGATGACCAGTACCTGAACTGTGGCCCTGCCATGGCTGAGGCCTTGCCGGCCCTCAACGGCTCCGAGTTCCAGGAGAACAAGGAGTTTTCCCAGGTCTGGGTGAAGGCCACGGCCGAGTGGCAGAAGCGGGGCTCCCATTCGTCCACTCTGAGCAAAGATCCTAACGCTCCTTGGCTGCCTCGCCTGATGTAGCAATAAATTGCTGCTTGCTCACCTTGTTTATAAAAAATGTATCAAAAACATGATCCTTGCTTGTCTGGCATATCAAATGTTTTTCAGAAATTTGATCCTTGCTTGCCTGGCGTATCAAAAGTTTACCAAAATCCCAGGGCTGTGGGACACGGGGACAGCCAGGGCAGGAGGCAGCACGGGGGCCAAGGGACACGGGGACAGTCAGGGCAGTCCCAGGGCCGTGGGACACAGGGACAGCCGGGACAGCCCCAGGGCTGTGGGACACGGGGACAGGTAGGACAGCCCCAGGGCTGTGGGACATGGGGACAGCCAGGACGGCCCTGGAGCCAATGGGACACGGGGACAGGTAGGACAGCCCTGGGGCTGTTGGACACGGGGACAGCCGGGACAGCCCCGGGGCTGTGGGACACGGGGACAGCCAGGATGGCCCTGGGGCCAATGGGACACGGGGACAGCCGGGATGGCCCCAGGGCTGTGGGACACAGGGACAACCAGGATGACCCTGGGGCCAGTGGAACATGGGGACAGGCAGGACAGCCCTGGAGCCAAGGGGACACGGGGACAGCCAGGATGACCCTGGGGCCAGTGGAACGTGGGGACAGCCAGGATGGCCCTGGAGCCAATGGGACATAGGGACAGCCAGGGCAGTCCCAGGGCTGTGGGACACGGGGACAGCCGGGACAGCCCCAGGGCCGTGGGACACGGGGACAGCCAGGGCAGTCCCGGGGCTGTGGGACTCGGGGACAGCCCCGGGGACCCTGCGTGTGACACTCACATGGCCTCAGGGGTGGCACAGGGACAGCAGCAGCACGACAGGTGCTGGGGAGGGATTTACAAAAATAAACAAACGAGGCCGCAGGGTGGAATCCGGAGGGCAGGAGAGAGGAGAAGCTGCCAGGGCAGCTCTGCTCCGCAGGGGCGGCCCCGAGCCAGCAAATCAGGCAGGCTGTGCTCTGGAAATCAGGGACAGGGACAGCGAGGGAGCTGGGACAGGGACAGGGACAGGGGACAGAGAGGGAGTTGGGACAGGGACAGGGGACAGAGAGAGAGCTGGGACAGGGACAGGGACGGAGCTGGGACAGGGACAGGGAGGGAGGTGGGACAGGGACAGCGAGGGAGCTGGGATAGAAGCTGAGACGCCCTAATGAGTGTCCAGATGTGTTCCGTGGGGTGAGGACGGTCCAGTTCGATGCAAAACTTGGCGATAAAGTCCGCTTCGGCCAATTTGCCTCGTCATCACTGGACGAAAAGGTGGCCCAGGGTTATGGGAACGTCACGATGTTCGAGGTGCACACGTGCCACGGCGCAGACATCCACAAGTTCTCCTTCAATCAGAGCGAGAAGGAGGTGCTGATCCCACCCTTCGAGACCTTTGAGGTCACCAAAGTCACCGGGGAAGGGAAGAAGGTGATTGGGCTTCGCTCCACTGGGAACTCCAGCAACTACAACTGCGAGTGGCTGCGAGGTGACATCATGGGAACAGCCTGGGCGGATGGGGACACTCACTGAGGGTTGGGGACAAGGACACATGGTGCTAGGGACACCCATGGCCTAAAGGGGACGGGGACACCCACTGTGGGTGGGAGGCAGGGCACCCAGCGCTGGGGACAAGGACAGGGACAGCTTTGCTTGGCACAGGGGATGGGGACAGCCAGTGCCAGGTGAGGGGGACAGGGACATCCAGTGCTGGGGTTGGGGGGACAAGGTACGTGGTACATGGCTGGGTACAGGGGAAATGGACCTTGTTATGGCCCCCTCTGACCCCACACCCTGAGGGCCACCCACCACCTCTGTCCATCCCCCATGGCCCTCCTGATGCCCCCCGACCCTCTCACCTCATTATCCCCCTGACCCCTCTCTTTGTCCCCACAGGTGGGAGTCTCCCCAGGAACTCCCCCCACTTTGGGGGGCTTCTCCTGGCTACCGTGGCCATGGCAGTGGCCATTGGAACCCTCTAAGCCACGAGGCCACCAAGGTCACTGTGGTCTTGGGTGCCAGTGTGGCCACCATGGTCACGAAGGCCACCAGGACCCCCAGAGAAAG